GGAAATGAAACTGAAAGAACTTTTCGGCAAGGTATTAATAGAAAGCAAATAGAAAGGATTAATTCGGAAGTATATGAAGACAGAATGCATGGTGGCCAACGAAAAAGGCAGCCCAAGGTATGGAATATGTACAAAATGAAGCAGGTGTTTAAATTCAACAGGTAGTCCAGGAATGGACGACGGAAAGTGTGACACAGAAAATCTAAAGTACATCAGAATAGCGAAACAAAGCAAAGTATTAAACGATAGAAAAATTTCGTTACAAACTATTATACGAACGCTAAACTGCTATGTACCATCTAATCATTTATATTGCAGTGAATGCAGAACATTTTCTTCGTTCGTCCTGGGTCTGACGATAAACTACATCTAGCAGCAAGACCTTTCAACCGGACATTTTGAGGAGCGTGAAACCACCTCTTACCTGCTGTTTTCTCCAGTTGCACCCGGGGTGGTAACACCTGTTACGATCCCAGCTATGGCCAAATAGTGAACCCCCAAAATGAGGTCAAAACTTAAAAATATAAAAATTAACCAGAAAAAATTACAGGCATTACATTCTCATAGTAAAAATTAATTACATGTGATAAATATTTGGCGAAGAATAAATTACCAAAGCTCGCTTGAAAATTGAATTTCGATATTAAATGACCCATAAAGAGTTGATATGATGCTAAACAAACAAACCAAACATTTTTTCCTGATGAAGAAGAGACTTGAAGCGACACATATGTGGTTCTATTGACGAATGCTTAAAATACAATAGATAGATTGCCTAAGCAACGAGGAAGTTCTAAGTAAAGTAAGAACTACAAGGAAACTTAAACTCATAAAGAGATGGTTGAAACTTATATTTAAAATCAGAAAGAGGCAGTAGAAATTTTCGAGACACATAATGAGGAAAGAGTGCCTGGAAAATTTAACACTGGCAAGGCATTTTGAAGCAAGGGAAACTGTGAGAAACCTACTTAAGGCGTTTTGTTTCAAAATGGATTGTAGAATAAGTGCAAAGAAGCATGGAAAAGAGTCAAAAATTACTTTGACCAAAATTAGTAAGTCGTAGAGCAGTGGTTGTCAAACTTTTTGAATTCGGGGCGCACTTGAAATCTACCAATAATTGTAGACGCACTATATTTCTGAAAAAATATGTTAAAATGAAGTCAAATATTGCAAAAAAGAAATAATGCAATAAAAAGGTAAAATGAAACATTCCTTATGCTTATTCATTCTTGTGTTTATGAAAAAACATGAGCCTGACGAGTCTTATCGATTTCTTCAATGTTTGGGTGTATATTTGATAGGCAAATTTTCAATCGACAATACATTGAAGAGTTTCTCTCTTTTTGCACTTAATTGTGGTGAAGGCAGAAAAGCCTAATTCACATAAATATCAACGAGATGGGCACCGTAATATAAAGTAAGTATATTTATTTATTGTATTTGAACATATTTCTCTGTAATGCCATGGCACACCTAGACATCTTCCAGAGCGCACCAGTGCAACCAGGTGCACCATTTGCGAACCTATATCGTAGAGAACTAAGTTAGAGATTAAACAAAGCTTTCAAAAAAGATTCTACTTAAATTGGGATTGATGAAGAGTTAATTTAACACTGGATCAATTAAGTTTTAAATTTGATCGATTCACATGCTATATAGCTGTGAATCGAATAATATTAGATAGTGTTATTTGATTAAGATTTGACACAGATTTGGATTTATTCAGATGCCAGACACCATTGGTTCAAATAAGTTTATATTTGACTCTCGATTTACTCAGATTCTAATTAGAATAGAATCGATTACGGTACTATATATTTTTTTATCGTTCAAAAGTCTACTTTGATTGAGATCAATTCAGATTATACAGTCTAGTAGTATTATTTTTGTTTGGAATCACTAAAATGTCTTATATTTCTAATATGTTAATTAACTGCAGATTTCCTAAGATTTTACTTAGACTGAAGATTCTACTAGTGTTTAGAGACTCAGATTCTACTTAGATTTGGATTGTCTACGATTCGATTCCGCCCCGAACTGTTTCACATTGTACTAAGCGGAGATTATCGGAAATTCTACTTATCTTCAGATTGTTAAACTCTTGTGCTTCGCTTGGGATTGACAGAGTTTCAACTTAAATTCTACATAAGTTTCGATTGTCAGTGATGTTATATAACTACAGATTATCAGAAATTATATTTGGCTTCATGTAGTTTAATACTCTAATTTGCTTCATAATGTCAGAGATTAAACTTAGACTATGATCTCAGATTTACTTAGATTAGAATTTTCAGATATTATACTTAATTTCAAATTGCTTAACTTAGATTCTGATTGACAGATATTTTACTTCACTCCGAATTTTCAGAGATTATTCTTATATTCGTATGGTGTCAGTTTCCACTTAGATTTGGACTTTCACAGAATCTATTTCACTTGAGATTGAGATTATAGCTTGATTCGGATTCTCTCAGATTCTATTTAGTGTTAGATCGTTTATATTCTGCTCAACATTTTGTATTTCAAAATTTTATTTAGATTTGGATTTTGATTTAATGTGGCAGTTAATTGATCGAGATTTTACTTAGCTTTGCATGAACTAAAATCTGATATAGTTTTGAATCGACTAAGATTTTATTTAGCTTTCATTACTGGACTAATTAACAGTTACTTAATTTGTCTTTTTCTTGTCAGGAAATAAGAATAGGGCCCCGAATGCTAATGGTAATATTACCCTTTTCCTCATAAAGAAACATTTAGCATTCATTGACCAAGTGGCAAGTACTGTCGTCTGTTGAAAATTATAAAATCATTTCTCGTAAAACATTTTTCAGGAAAATTGTTTTTTCCAATCCATTAGCTGTTATTGCTCTTTCCTGTATTGATGGGGGTTTCCTTCCTAATCTTTTAATTTAAATAGTGTAGAAATTCAACATATTGATTATATCATTATTTTCTCTTCGAGGTACATATGTGTTGTGGTAGGATCCACCTAATTTGCATAGTGGAGTACCGACCATATAAATATGGTTGGTACCGGAAAGAGAGGGAGGAATCAAGAGATTCAACCAAAGACTCTGCCCGACTGCGACTCAGTCAACACATTCTCCAGGAACGGTCTTACCAGGAATATACAAAAGACTATATGTAAATATTGTGTACCCTTTCTTGTTTCAATACATTTTGTTCTAAGTACATTTTGTGTTGCATTATTATTCCATGCATTAGTCAAGTTTCAACAATATGATAATCATTTTAGTTGTTGCTTTTGTTGAAAGTATGCATTGTGATGTGATTTCAGTTGTTTTCTACATTTCTTGGTTTGTGATTCTGTAGCGTCAGTCCACCAAATTCGAAGAAGTATGTTCAACACCATGACCCACAGGCTTCCCTCTTTCAAAGTCATTTTAACTATGGGTTTGAGAGAGCGGCTGTATACAGGTGGAAGTTTGGATCTTCCATTTGAAAGTCTTGATCTGACTAGGCTATTTAAACACATGGCTAGAGTTTTCCGTTTAATGATTATTTTTTAGCAATGTTTTGCGCAAAACTACCTCTGATGCAGCGTAAAATATGTTCAGTTTCCTCATCCCCTTTTGCTAAATTTCTTATAACTGATCCATACGCTGAGATATTTGATATGTTTAGTATTTCTTAAATCCATGTTGTATATCTTCATGATAGATTCAGAGTACGTGCGATCACTAATTTCATTCCAATTCCACATCATAATTTCTGTTTTTCAAAGGTTTATATCGAGTCCTATTTTTGGAACACATGGTAAAAGACGTTTGAGATCATTCTTATCCCAAATACGTATACTTGTACGATCGCTATAGCCCCTCTCATCAGCATTACTTTGAGCACCGTTGGTGGGTAGCAGGATCATTGTATTCTATTAGTAGATTCCTTTAGAATGTGGTATAGAATGCTGATATAATAAGTGACCATCATTTCACATCTGTGCTTATAAATGCGCAGGCGTAGTCTAGGAATAATAAAATGTACAATCACAACACGAGCAACATTTTCCGACTAATGTTATCAGTCTATGAAATATCTCTATTTTTAACAGACTTGCCATGTGTCCTTAAGGACACATAGCACAGTGGATAAAGGCGTTGGTTAGATCCGGTAGCAGGACCCAAGGAGTTGGGAGTTCAAAACCTGGTTAAGGTAGTGGAGAACTTTGCGAGGTGAATTAACAGGGGATAACTGATAACTGACATCCATTAAACATGGCACGTGGAACTAGAACAGTCTACCCCACCGAGCGAAACAAAGGGTTCAGTTCGACATTCCAGCCATCTGAAGAAGGCCGGAGCGTACGACGGCCGAAAAGTGGTGATAAATATGGCAACAAAGATGAGAACAAAAGTTTGAATAATATAAATAGTGTTTTAACAGACGGCTATACTAATTACAATTTATGAAATTTTACAAAAGATAAAGCAGATCTTCTACTGATATTGTCCGTCCTGTAAAAGTAATTGCGAAAGAATAAATGGTTCATGGTTTTATCGCACTTTCACAATAAACACGATTATGACAAGATAATTAGTGAAGAGACAAATGATAAGGATCGTTGGGTTCATGGCTTTAGAATTCAATGAGTCTTAAAATGATACAAGCAGTCAAGACTGGAATTCGAAATCTGTGATCGATTTGAATGTTGTGTATTATTTAGTCCAGTGCTATTACAATCTTTCAGTGATAAGTGGGGATGACGAATTTTATTGGCGCTTGACAGACAATTAGTCGCAGATGCCATTGCGATAGAAAATGCACATTCACCTCTCTCTTTCATATCGATCACCAGAGGAATACTATAAAATATCGGCTTGATTCGAACACTTCCCCGAACAGCCTGTAGGTAAATCAGGTTCGATATATTCATTAATGAATCGGAACTAATATATTTGGTAATTTCCATGGCACCCTAGTTTCCGGAAAGCATTGTTAAACTGAACGGACTTAAAATGTCCTTATGCGGTGCGCTAATGGCAACTATTTATTCATATACGCGCATGTATGATGAGTGCAGCTTGTTTTCGAATCGATCCACTGTTTCATCTGTGAACAGCACGAATGTGAGGTTGACATTAACAATGTCTCATTTTCATGAACTTTCATTGAGTTTGAATGTCCTTTTCGAATGTGACCAGTCATTGTGCCGTCCTGGGTATGACGATAAAATACATCCAACAGCAAGGCCTCTGATAAAGAGGTTTTGAGGAACGCGAAACCACCTCTTCATTGCTGGATTTCCCAGGTCTACCTTGACCCGGAGTGGTAACACCTGTTAGGGTCCAACTATGGGCAAATTGTTAACAAAAGTGATAATGCCGCATTGACCAGCAAATAGAAATTTTTGAGCTGTCAGCCAACAAACATGGCCGCCAGATTGTGTTCAAGTATGAATCCGACTATGGCCACTCGGTGTTGACCACGATGTCTATGCTTATATTTAGACACGTTCTATCCCGTACATTGCACAATTCTAACCATAAAGATAGCAAACATTAAAACCATGTTTTGTCTTATACAAAAGTGACAAGTGAACCGAACAAATACGAAACTCCGGAATTGAGGTACTGAATATAACATTTGTCATCTAAGTGACAAATTTTATTTGTACCAATCTCATATATATATATATATATATATATATATATATATATATATATATATATATATATATTATTATTATTATTATTACTATTATTATTATTATTATTATTATTTTTTAATATACTTTCTGTTTATCCATTAAAATAATTAAAATTAAAATTATAATTATCGGACTTATATATATATGTGTGTGTGTGTGTGTTGTAAGTTGGGGAGTAATCGAATGACAAAATGTGAAAAATAATACACCCCAGTGAGAAATAAAAAGAGAGGGAGGGCCTACGTGTGTGTTGATATGTACACTGTTCGTTTCACTCGTCTGTGAAATTTCCAAGTGCTCACCACTTCCGGAATGAGCTCTATATATAGGTCTTTGTGGGATAAAGAGTAATCGGAGAATGAGGATATTTTAATATATATATATATATATATATATATATATATATATGTAGGAAACTTACAGAATCAGCTCCTGATGAAAACCGACGCGTAAGCTGAAAAGAATTACAAAACAGGCCAGGGGCTATATAAAACAGCCAAGTTTGCCACATTTGCTTCGAGATCCACGTCGTTCTCACAAGAACCATAACCATTGATCAAATTTTCCGGCAACAGTAATTCCCGTGTGTATTTATGTTTATATAGCGTCCGTCGGTCTCGTGAGATGATGCATCAGCGTCTAATGTGATGCACCAGCTGCTGATTACGCCGCAGCATCTGTTATATGCACGTATGTATTAAAAAAGATAAACATGCATTGAAACACTGTTTGCCGCGAAACTTTGTTTTCACTGCCACCAGTGTAGTCTCGCTGTGCAGTATATATATATATATATATATATATATATATATATATATATATATATATATATATGTATATATATATATATATATATATATATATATATATATATATATATATATATATATATATATATATATATATATATATATATATATATATATATATATACATATATATATATTTGCATATATATATATATATATATATATATATATATATATATATATATATACTGGGTGTAACAAAAAATTGTACAAAGTTTTTATTGGACTCTACATTGACCAACAAGAATGTATAATTACGCTCCAATCTTCACAGAAATATTGTGATGAAATCGATCATAAATGAAAATCACATGTTCATCATTAATTAATCATAGCTAAGGCTAAGAAGATCATGAAGTATTGAAATAAAGTTCAAATATATGCATATTATTCCAGGATAATTTTTCACATAATTTCTCACCTTCTAATTTTCTATCCTCGAATAACAAGGTGCCTCACATGTTTCACGTATGATTTCATTTTTAAGTCCTTTTTCGAGGCTCTTTAGACTGTCATAGCTGAAACTCTTTTCTCACATGCCAAACAACTCATGGATTGAGTTGGATCTTTTCTAATTGATCGTTAAATCTGATTTGAAATGATGATCTCTCTTCCTGTTGTGGCTTCCTGATCCTCTTTTCCTCTGTAATGTTCCCTCTTTCTTAAACTTATTCACCATTATCTTGATGGTTCTTGAATGGACTTTGAATTTGGTAGCCAGATTATGAATATTGGTACCATTAGTGGAGGCCTGAATGATTTTTTCCTCTCACCATTGTTCAGTTGGGAAGACATAGCGGCACTGACACAGGGCGATTTTAACCTGCTCTCTTTTAAGTTGAATAACTCAATTGGTTTTTCTGTGATTCTTACGACAAATGGTGTCAAGATGGCTAAACGTCTTATCTAAAACTCTAAAAAAGAAACTCATTTAGTTTTGTGTTTTTTTTTAGATATTAAACATTTTGTGGGATGGAAAGTTCTGCAGTTAAATGATTTGCACAATTTTGCTGTTACACCCCGTATATATATGAAAAATATTAAGTTTGCATTGCCCCAATCTTTTAGATAACACATTGTATCCATATACAAATGCGCCCGAGCACACCCACACACACATATATATATAGCGACACACATAAATAAATAAATAAATAAATAACGTAAGTAAATAAATAATTAAAAAATGAATTATAAATAGATAAAAAGAAATCAAGGATAAAACAATAAATAATCGAAAGCATTTGCTTTAATATAAAAATTAAAAAAATCGACCAACGGATTTCTCTTTTCCTAGGCTCCATGAATTCAAGCGCCCTACGAGGCTGGCATCCCGCTCCCACCCTTACACTGTAGAATCTTTTAAATGTAGCCGTCTCTTCTACTCCAATAGCTTCATATCTCGCACCTCTCGCCTGTGGAACACCCTTCCCAATTACTGTTTCCCTGAGAGCTATAATCTCCAACTATTCAAATGTAATGTCAATCGACATCTCCAGTTACCTTGATCTATCCACTATCCCTCTCCTCATCCTTTCTTCTATCACTCCTATCTTGTTCTTGCTCCGAACCTTCTGCGACCCCCTGCATCCTAGTGGCTTCACGCCTTGCTCGGGGCGTAATGCTTAAAAAAAAAAACTTCACATAAACTCCAAGAAAAGACCTGTATATATACGGCCCGCCCAAGGAGTAGTAACTCAAAGGCCTGATGATCCCTGGAGGTGTGAAACTAAAAATTACCATGCAGTGTTGATTTCTATATCTACATTCTGTATGCTATAAACTCTCTCTAACCGATACAGACATCTACGCATCTCCTTACCCATAAATATAACAAATTTTAAACAATATATATGCACGTATGTATGTAAGTAACACATTGATTATCACTGAGTAACCAGGCCTCTCAACCCCAGTGCTTTTCACCGTAGAAATGGATCTGTTGTTAACGATCGTATGTTTATAACGAACATAACGAGGTGTTGTGAAGGCAAAAGATTTATGGGCCTCAGTCGTTAAAGAATGCCATTTGTTGTAACTCAATGGCAAATGGAAAGCAATATACAGGTTTTAGTTGGCGATACGTCTGTTGTAATAGAGGTTATCAGTGGGCGCAGAATGAAGTCAATATTAGTCGAATAATTGGTCAATATTGCCATAAGTACGAAACTGACGCTGACTCCCAAATGACATCGATGAAAGATTCTGTTTTCTCCTCGGTTGTTCATTGCATAGAAGATCTTTCATTATCTATCTATCTAGCTAGCTAGCTTAGTTTTTTTCTTATATATCTTTTTTTTTTTTTCTCTCTCTCTCTCTCTATCTCTCTCTCTATCTCTCTCTATCTCTATCTCTCTCTCTCTCTCTCTATCTATATATATATATATATATATATATATATCAGTCATCTATCTATCTAGCTCACTAGCTATCTACCTCAGTTTTTCATTTTTATCTATCTATCTCGCTGTCTTTTCACTATCTATCTATTTATCTCTGCATTTACATTATCTATCTCTCTATCTTGATCAGTTTTGTCATTATCTATCTATCTATCTATCTATCTGTGTGTGTGTATATATATATATATATATATATATATATATATATATATATATATATATATATAGCTCAGTCTTTTCATTATCGATCTATTTCTGTATTTTCATGATCTACTTCTCTCTCTCTCTCTCTCTCTCTCTCTCTCTCTCTATATATATATATATATATATATATATCAGGCATCTATCTATCTAGCTCACTAGCTATCTAGCTCAGTTTTTCATTTTTATCTATCTATCTATCTATCTATCTATCTATCTATCTATCGATCGCTTAGTCTTTTCACTATCTATCTATTTATCTCTGCATTTAAATTACCTATCTCTCTATCTTGCTCAGTTTTGTCATTATCTATTTCCTACATATCTAGCTCAGTTTTTCATTATATCTATGTATCTATGTATCTATGTATCTATCTATCTATCTATCTATCTATCTATCTATCTGTATGTCTGTCTGTGTGTGTGTATATATATATGTATAGCACAGTCTTTTCATTATTTCTGCATTTTCATGATCTATCTATCTATCTATCTATCTATCTATCTATCTATCTATCTACCCCGCTTACTGCAGTCATTACCTATCTATTTATCTATCTATATCTAATTCAGAGTTTTTATTATCTATCCCTATTTTTATGTCTCTATCTCTAGATCTATATCTATCTATCTAGCTAGCTCAGATTTTCATTATCTCTCTTTATCTACTTATCTCGCTTTCCCTCTTTTCTCTCTCTCTCTCTCTTATATATATATATAGCTCAGACTTTTCATCAATCAATCTATCTATCTATTTATATATATATATATATATATATATATATATATATATATATATATGATTAAATCGAAAACATTTTGCTCCTATTGATCTGTTTCTTTGCCTGCTTTAACTTTATTTTTTTTCTATCAGCTCATATATCTCTACCTAGTAAAGCACACATCGTATTTTTTATTCATATATAGCACAGGATATCTATCTACTATCTAGTTTATTACTTTGGTCTGTTTCTTTTTTATATACTTTTAGTTTGTTTATATACTAACATACACACACGCTCTCGTACACACACAGAAATATATATATATATATATATATATATATATATATATATATATATATATATATATATATAGATAGATAGATAGATAGATATTAGTTTGCACTGCTGAGATATACTAATAGCAATAATAAAACACAAACATTCCAGTTTAAAACCAGGAGATAATCTGCTGCCATTGAAGAGCTTGCTGGCTTTGATTTGGCTTTGGTGGCGTGATGGATAAAATAAAATTTAAATGAAATAGGAACATTTTTCAAAGAAATTTGTCAACGGAGGTGAAGATAATAAAAAGACACCAAAGATCCTAGTCAAAGGCAATAAAACTAAATATATATATAGAGAGAGAGAGCATGTGCCTCAGGGTTTACAAAAAAGATAACTGACGACGTCATCAAATTTTACTCGAAAGCAACAGTATTAAACATTGAAAACGTTCATACAGAGGCTAAAGACATCACATCCAAGTCGGGTATAAATGACAAAGTCCATATATTATACAGAAAGTAATCTTTTCTAACTGTTAATTACCACAGATATGATTTTTTTAACAGCACTTCGCTCCACTTTATAAACCCGACTAAAACTGAATTGGGTATCGTCAGCTAGAAAATTTTACAAAAGGAATGCGACTTATTAAGAGTCATTACACAAGCTAACCAGTAGAAGGGACCATATGAATGCATCTCCTGGTTACATGTCATTAAAAATAAAGATATGTGTTTATTTATTAAATACAACATCAAAGACTTCTATCCCTCCATATCAGAGAATGTCCTACTTGAAGAATTGGTATACGCCAAGGGATGTATTAATGTTCCACCCGAGTAGATTCAGATAATCTTACATTGTTACAAATCTGTTTTATTTCATAATGGCGATGTATAGGTTAAGAAATCCAGCAATGATGCCTTCGATATCCCATAAATATCGTTTGATAGAGTCGAGATTTTGGAGCAGATGGGCCTATTTATATTGAACAAAATTAACAACATTGTTCATGCTGAAAGTCACAGTCTTTATAGAATTGATGAGTTTATAATTGTACATGGCAACTGAACAACAAACGGTAAAATTAGGAAAATGTTCTTTAAATACATTCATGACCTAGATTTTGATATCACGGTCGACATGAATAAGAAGTTGTACAATATTTGAACGTAGATTTTAACCTTTCAGCCATCACAATATCCCCATATACGAAGCCGAACAAAGTTTTGAACTATGTAAACTCCAAACTACCCAGCAAGTGTAATCAGGTATATTCCAAGTAGAATTAAATGCAGACTGGTGGGAAATTCCTAGTCTAAAGAAATTTTTGAATAAGAGAAAAAAGAATATGAAACAGAATTGAGGAGCCTAAAATCATATTAGCCTTCAAACTTCAAATAATCAGCAACTGAGGAATAGGAATAGGGAAAAATATAACCTGACTAGCAGTAGAGCCCGGCGTTGCCCGGGAATATAACAGTAAGAGATAGATCAAGTATCCACCATCATAAAGACTGAAAAATAAAATTGACAAAGATTATTGTTTAAGGTTGACGGACACGCATGTCTTAATTAGTTTTTTTTTTACGAATTGGTCAGACCCAAACTCAAACAAAAACATTGTTTTCAATCGTTATGAGTCTCCCGATTGAATAGAATTTTATTATAAATAATTGTCTTGTAAATGGAATTTTTAAAGCATTCTGAATGTTAAAAATAAAGAAAAAAGTGTGCAAGAGAATAAGAAACACTACCTGCCAAAAAAAAAAAAAGAAGTTTTGTTTTATCGGCTGAAAAATATAAGAAATCCGCTCCTATATTTAAAGCCACACACACAAACAACCCGATGTAAGTTGTCCCCCTTCCATTTTCACGATGTCTCTTAATTGTGTTTTCAAATTGATTTTGTGCAAAAACAATTATATTTTCCCCATTTTTGGCGCTGTTAGAACCACCACAAGGTAATTTTATGTAGTCCTGTGAAGTTTTGTTGCATTTTATAATAAGTAAGATTTAACCCACATTTTAATTTGGAAGTAAAATCAATATAGGTATGATATTTTTAAGCTGATTACAAAGCACTTCCTTATGTCTTCCAAGTTACACAGAATCTTCAAAAGAAAAATAAAGGTAAAATTGAGCTATAGCTGTTCTAGAAATATGAAAAATATCATAAAAAATTAATACAAAGATTTGCAAGGTGAATGTGCCGTGCAGTAACGCTTGTAATTGCAGGGATAAAGGCAAATGTCCGTTTGCTAGTGCCTGTAATAAGGAAGGTGTAATCTGTAAAGCAGAAGTGGAAGATGACAGCGGATGGACCAAGGTCTATGTGGTATGCATGGAAGGCAATGTTAAGCAAAGATGGTACAACCATAAACCTTTCTTTAAATAGGAAAGACAGAGGTACTGTACCAAACTCACCAGCCATGTTTGGGAGTTTAAAAAAAAGCAAAACAATAAAAGCCCTAACGTGAAATGGAGTATTTTGAGAAACTTCAATCCCTGTAACATTGGTAGAAGTGTTTGCAAATTATGCCAATAGGAAAAGCTAACAATAGTGACATACACAGAACAATAAAAATTATTAAACGAAAGGTCAGAAGTAAAGTCTTAATGCAGACATGCTAATAAATATATTTTGTAGTATATGAACCTGAATGAGAGTGAACCCAACAATATTTTTTAACCTCCCGGTTCAAATTACACTTGCACTTTTGTGGATCTTCCTGTTATTGTGCTAAGTTTATAAACGATGAAAATGAGCGTTTAAAAACATAATTTGCCAATACCACCTGAAGAAACCTTATGCGTGAAACCCGCGGTAAATATTTTTTGACATCTGCTCCACCCGTTCAATTTTATGAATTTGTGTACTAATCACATTTTTAAATATCCTTTAGCCCAACAGCTCCTATAATCAAGTTGGTTGCAGTCTGGGGAGTTAGGTGGTCAGATGTGGAGACAGAAATTGTCTGGCAGGTTCCCATGTTTGTCTGGCATGGTTCAGAGTTATTTTTCCAGACATAAGTTCTTCCAGCAGCCGGCCTACTGACCCAGGGATGCACTACCTCCTTAAGGCACTTGATGCAGGTCACCGTGTTGACTCTGTGATTGAAAAGAAAAGAAGGAAAACACTGAACTGTAAACTATGCAAAAGAGTACGGGAAACCACTCCGTCATCTTTCACCAAGAATGCTTAGTAATGTAAAGACAAAAGAGAAAGTATCTCTGGGAAGTCATGGCCATATATTGCCTAAAGGGACATAGCAACTCCATTTGAAATTATTCAGTGTTAATTTCTTTCATGTCATTTTAATTTTCTTTAAAGCAATTTTTAAGCATTTCACACCAAGCAAGGCGGAAGTGGCACTAACACGCAAGGGGTTACAGAGAAGGAGAGCAAGAGTAAAGAAGCGTGTCTGAGAAAAGGATATAGAGAAGGGCGGGGAAAACAAGATCAAGGCATTAGAAGATGTCGATTGACATTACATTTGAATATTTGAAGATTATAGCTATCAGGGAAGCAAGTAAGAGGAAGGGAATTCCACTGTCGGGAAGTGCTAGAGAAGAAGCTGTTGAAGTAGAAGAAACGGCTACATTTAATCGTTTCGATAGTCAAAGGGAGCGACCGAGATGTCAACCTAGTAGCACCCTTGAATTCATGCAGTTTGGGAACAAGCGAAAGTAGCTCGTCGCAGTAATTGCCGTAAAAATACTTGTAGAAGAGACAGAAGGAAGCAACGGCACGTCTGTGAGAAAGTGACTGTAGACAAGATCAGGACCCATCATATTGCATACCCGTCTTCGGTTTCTGTCGAGGACGACGAGACGAACAATCTGGGCTCCAGACCATATATAGCAGCAGTACTTCATGGAAGGACGATTAGTTGATTTATAGATTTGAGGGATGGACACAGGCAAGAAAAACATTCTGGCGAGACATAAAGAACCAACTTTCCTTGCTGTAGATGAAGCTATAGAATCGATGTATTTATTCCACCTTAGGTCAGCGGAGAGCGTGACACCAAGCAGGTGCAGAAAAGCGCTCTTGTGGTGTTGGGCACAAGCCATTCTGATGGGAGGCAGGGAGGGTTCTCTGTGGTGGGTAAATGAGAACAGTTTCGTTTTAGAGGCATTAAAGTTTGCCAGCTATTTCTTACCCCAGTCAGGAGATCCTTTTCGAGACCAATGTCTAGGTTAGTTTTGTCAGCGATACCAGATTTACTATGGAAGCAGGAGTAAACAGTAGTGTCGTCTGCGTAGATGCCTATTAGGGAATTGAAGACATCAGGAAGATCGTTAATGAAGATCAGAATCGGTGTAGGAACCAGGCTAGAGCCTTGGCGAACACCAGTATTGGATCTACCTTCTTTTCTCTGTCTTTCTAATTGGTTTGTCGTTTTTTTCTTCGTTTCTTGATTTCTTACCTTAGCTTTTCAATACTTTAATTATTTTTCCTTCTTTCTTCTTTTTTTCAAAAATGAAATTATTTCATTATTTCTTTACTTCCATTGTTTGCTTGTTTCTTTCTTTCTTTCAAAACGTTTCTTCT